GCCCTGCCTCGGCTGCGACGTCGAGTACGGCGAGTGCGAGTCGAGCTGTCCGACGGTGCGCCGGCTCACCGACTGGACGCCCTGGCTGGCGGCCAACGACACGGCCGGCCGCAAACAGCAACGCTTCCGGTTCGCGTGCCGCGCGGCCGTGGCCGACCCTGACCTGATCCGTGTCAGTCAGATCAAAGTGGACGAGCGCTACTGCCGGCCCGACGGGCACTGCTCCCCCGGTGAGTACTGACCAGTGACGGACATTGCTCCCCCGGTGATAACCGACCAGTGACGGGCACTGCTCCCCCGGTGAGTACTGACCAGTGACGGGCACTGCTCCCCCTGGTGAGTACTGACCAGTGACGGGCACTGCTCCCCCGGTGATTACCGACCAGTGACGGGCACTGCTCCCCCGGTGATTACCGACCAGTGACGGGCACTGCCCCCCCCCCCCCCTGTGAGTACCGACCAGTGACGGGCACTGCTCCCCCTGGTGAGTACTGACCAGTGACGGGCACTGCTCCCCCGGTGATTACCGACCAGTGACGGGCACTGCTCCCCCGGTGATTACCGACCAGTGACGGGCACTGCCCCCCTGTGAGTACCGACCAGTGACGGGCACTGCTCCCCCTGGTGAGTACTGACCAGTGACGGGCACTGCTCCCCCGGTGATTACCGACCAGTGACGGGCACTGCTCCCCCGGTGATTACCGACCAGTGACGGGCACTGCTCCCCCTGTGAGTACTGACCAGTGACGGGCACTGCTCCCCCGGTGATTACCGACCAGTGACGGGCACTGCTCCCCCGGTGAGAACCATCGATTGGCGAAGGAGGGGTCGTGTTCCTTCCCTGCTAAGTGCCTCCGGTGGTCGACAGTTGCGACTCAATGCCTGATGTTTCGATGGGCGTCACGGTGTCACCTTGGACACCGTTGGTTTATCTCATAATCTTGCTCTTAAAGTCTTCGAAATGTGTCGTTTTTGGATCACGTTGCCATGATGTCAGCGTTTGGGCGGAGGTCGCTGGGTGACTGGTATCAGTAGAGCGGGCTCGGCCGCGCCAGGTGGCGTCAGTGTCGGGTGGCGCTGATCGCCGGGGTGGCTCGGGGCAGGGTCCGTCACCAGAGGTCACCAGAGATCACCAGGTGTCGGTGCCGTGTCGGCTGGTGTAGTGTTCGGTCCGCCCACCCGAGCCCGGGGTTCCGCCGGAGATCGTTCAAACTGCTCTGCCAGCAGACTGGGGCGCTGTCCTGTGTAGGGGTCACGGGTGTTATGCTGAGTACAAGAGCAGTAGCTGAAGGATGGTGACCCGTGACAGTGTTCAATGACGGCCAGTTGGGCTCCTGTGCCGTCGTCTGGGAATGTTCGGGCGCTCATGTTTGTGATGATCGCATGTTTATTCAGCCTTGCTCTTTATTGCTTGCTGAATACGCTACATTCAAAGTTAATGAGAACTTCACCAAATACTTTATAAATCTTATTGAACGACAATAGGACCTAGGCAGTCAGGAGATAAAACGAGAACCAGGACAGAAGTTAGTGTCTGTGTTTTGAATTCAAACTGCAGTGCTCTGAATGTAACACCACTCTCGGCGCCGTGTTGCGCTCTCTGACGTCTGTGTTCGCTCCTGTCCTGCAGCCAATTCTGTCGCCCTTGGCTGGGGTGAGTGGAGCGCCTGGTCCGAGTGTTCTGTGTCCTGCGGCGGCGGCGTCCAGGTGCGCTCCCGGGTGTGCGAGGGTGACGCCGCACTGTGCGGCTCCGGGCCGCACCGCGTGGAGCGCGAGTGTAACGCACACTCCTGCCAAGGTCAGTGTCAGCGGAGCCGGCAGCTCTCTTGAAATCTAGTAAATTTGTGGTACTTTACAGTCTCGGACATTCTTTAACATAAACAACGGTGCATATCCATGAGCAGTGACATGTCTTTCACTGACCCATAAATGAGCAAACCATGGAGCTCGGGCGAGCCGTGCTCAGAGCGTAACCTTGCCGAGCTGATCGTGACCCCGTTGCCTGACCGTTCCGTCCGTTCGTCTGGCCCGTTGTCCTGAAGGACCGCCTCTCCCGGCGTTCGTCTGACCGTGTCTGACTCGCTCTGCAGGCGAGTGGGGCTGCTGGTCCGAGTGGTCCCAGTGCTCGGTCTCCTGCGGCGTCGGCCACCGGCACCGCTCGCGCGTCTGCCGCAAACGGCACGCGTCCAGCGACGCGGGCGCCATCTGCGAGGGCCACGACGTCTCGCAGGAGGCGTGCGAGATGCCCAGCTGCACCAGCATGGACGGCTGGCTCGAATGGTCAGTAGCTCAGTATCAGTAGTAAGACGGCTGGCTCGAATGGTCAGTAATTCAGTGGCAATACGGCTGGCTCCAATGGTCCGTAGTTAGACGACCGGCTCGAATGGTCAGTAGGTAGACGGCTGGCTCGAAAGGTCAGACATTGGACTTTATGGACACATTGGACGGCGGCTGGCTGCACTCGTCAGTGATCAGTAGGCCCTATATGGACGGCTGACTCCACTAGGCAGTGCAGAGGGCCGCAGATGGAGGGCTGACTCGACTGGTCCAATGTCAGGGGGCCGGGAGGCGGGTGAGGGAGGGCAGGCAAAGGACTCGCTCGACTGGCCGCAAGTCACTTGGTTCATCGCTCCTACATGGATGGGTTTAGCAGTATCGACAGCCGTACAACCACAGGCAATGCAACAAGCAACAATCGTATTCTTGACGTAAACATGTTGCACCACCCTGTCTATCCGAGCAAATTATACATACATTGACTTGTAAATGCTCAACATCCCAAGACTTCAGCGTCACTGACTGACGTCTTATTCTCTGAAATATTCATTTTGAAATATTATCTGAATGCAGTAAATATTTGGGTTGGGGCACCAATACCATAATACAGTGATTCGTCTTGTCACGTATCCTTCGTGTGCATAACAAAACGACTTTCAGTTTCATTAAATCCGGCCGTGGTGTACTTTATCTGACGGACGGCTCTGTTTACAGGACGGTGTGGAGTCAGTGCGACGAAAACGACGAGCAGCACCGCCTGCGGCGCTGTAACACCTCGGAGCCGGGCCCGAGACTGTGCCAGGGCCACGACCGCGAGACCAGGATGTGCGTGCACAACAGCCGAGGTGGGTCAGCGGCAGCGCTCCGCCAGCCGCGCGCTTTTGCCGCCGCATACGCCGTCCGCATACGCCGTCCGCATTATGCATGACCAATGAGTTAGGTGTGTCCGCACCTCTAAGGACTTTACCGTTCAGTCCGGTCAGGGGCCGGCGGTAAGCACGGGGCGTTACCGCCGCTCTGCCCGGGCGTCACTGACACCGGCGGTGGGTGAACTCCCGGCTGGGTCTGTGGTGGCGCCAGTGACCGCCCTGTGGAGCTGACGGTACTCCCGGCTGGGTCTGTGGTGGCGCCAGTGACCGCCCTGTGGAGCTGACGGTACTCCCGGCTGGGTCTGGGGTGGCGCCAGTGACCGCCCTGTGGAGCTGACGGTACTCCCGGCTGGGTCTGGGGTGGCGCCAGTGACCGCCCTGTGGAGCTGACGGTACTCCCGGCTGGGTCTGGGGTGGCGCCAGTGACCGCCCTGTGGAGCTGACGGTACTCCCGGCTGGGTCTGGGGTGGCGCCAGTGACCGCCCTGTGGAGCTGACGGTACTCCCGGCTGGGTCTGGGGTGGCGCCAGTGACCGCCCTGTGGAGCTGACGGTACTCCCGGCTGGGTCTGGGGTGGCGCCAGTGACCGCCCTGTGGAGCTGACGGTACTCCCGGCTGGGTCTGGGGTGGCGCCAGTGACCGCCCTGTGGAGCTGACGGCGGGGCTCAGCCGGGTGCTGACCGGTCCCCTCTCCCCGCAGATCGGGTTCAGCTGGCGGCCACCGGCGGCGGCTCGACCGAGGGCGCCATCAGCCCCGGCATACTGGTCATGGGCTGCGTGCTGAGCTTCCTGCTGGGAGCCGGGCTGGCGGCCGGCGCCATGTACTACTTCATGGCCAGGCGGCGGCGGCGCTTCGACAAGGCGGCCCAGCTGTTCTCCAAGCCGACGCCGCCCAAGACGGCCGCGGCCAAGACGGCCGTGGCCAACCAGTACGTGACGTTGCCTGGCGCGCGGCGCGGCGCGCCCGGCGTGCACGAGCTGGCGGAGCTGAAGAACGGCTACCGGCGGCCGGGCAGCCCGACCAAGACGGTGATGCCTCCGCCGATGGCGCCGCTGACGCCCAAGGTGCTCGGCAGCGCGTCCACGATCCGGCGCAGCGGCGGCAACCGCTACGACCCGCTCAGCACGCAGGAGCTGCACTTCGACCTGGGCCTCGACTCGGACAACATGTACTAGCGGCGCCGGCCGGCCGCGCACCCAGACTCAGTACAAACATGTGATAGGATGTGTGAGGGACCCGCCCAAATATGGGGAACTATGTGCGGAAGTGGTAGTGACCATTGTCGTGAGGCCGTTGATGAAGCCGAGTATGATTGCAATTGTTTGTGAATATTGCCAAGTTTTACCATTGCTTGATGCTGGCCCACTTGGTGCTATCGGGTCGGCTGTTGTGCTATGATTGCTCATGCCTTGTGCCATGCGTGATGTAATATTTGGTGCTAAATGTGCCACGAGGTCACAAGCGTCGACGAAAGGAGGCCAAAATCATGTTATTGAAATTATACGCCCTTTTTACGAACAAATGCCAGTTCTTGTCGTTTTCGTACACTGAAGTGCGGGGTGGTTTCTATGACGATGCGTGACCTGTGATATGTGTAAGAGTGTGCCATCAACTAACCCCACCTGACCAATGGGATGGGTGGAGACGAGGCCTCGTCGTTGCTTTTGCACAGCGTCAGCTGCAGTATTTGGGTCCACAGGAGGCGCGACATCGGGACCAAACAGGCTGGATTTTAGTATATGTAGTAGACTTTGGGACTGCTTGCTGTGACCGTCCCAACAGTGGTTTTGTACTGGAGAATCAGCAATTAATTGATACGTCGCAGACCATGTCAGCGCCATGCTCCGTTACCTATTGGAGATTGATGTACTGTATTGATCATGATCACAGGATAGACACTATATAGAGATGAGAAGACAACTACTTAAGCAATGATTTGTGAATAAAAACTATGAGTGATTTTATGTTGTGATTTTACGATACATAGGTACGTGATACACACAAATCCGTTCTAGGTAGCCCGACGAAATTATCACAGTGAATCACACGGCCTTCTCGGCGGCGCCTGCCCACCTGTGGCCGCGCCCTGAGCCGCTGGCGGCCGTCTCCATGATCCAGGAGAGCGCGCCCACGGCCGGCAGCAGCACCGGCACGAACTGCAGCTCCTCCCAGGTGCGGTACACGTCCAGCGAGGTCAGCTGCGGCTGCAGCAGCGGCGCGCAGCTGGCCAGCTGCAGCCGGCCGGCCAGCGCCGCCGCCGGCCGCGGCAGACCGCTCAGCCGCTCCAGCTGCTCGCAGACGGTCAGCAGGGCGGCCCAGAGCAGCAGGCGCGCGCCGCCGGCCGCCGCCGCCGCGGCCCCGCACAGCGCGCACAGCAGCCAGGCGGTGAGCCGGCCGGCACCGAGCAGCCGCCGCAGCCAGGCGGAGACGGGCCCAGTCAGCGCCGCCACCAGGCTGGAGACGCTGCCGGAGCGGACGGCCGGCCACCAGGCCAGCCGCGGCGCCGAGCCACTGCGGGGAGAGAGGGTGTCACAGAGGCCGGACGCTTCGTATAGGACAGTCCGCATAGGAAGACTTATTTGATCCTATGAAAATCAGCGCCTATGATTCAGAACGAACATCGATCATATGCAACTTGAAAATCGCCTTACGAATAACCGAAAGTTGTGCTAAGAATGCAAAACGCTTGAACACTTACGACACTCAACAATCAGCATCTCACCAAAGCTGTAAGGCACAACGCTTTACTACGCGCTAAGCAAATATCAGTAACACGAAGTTCACCTCACCTTAGGATGATGTCTGCGGCCGCCTGGAGCACGATCAGCGGGCACAGCCAGAGCGCCTGCTGGCCCGTCCACATGGCGACCAGCTGCAGAAGCTGGACGGGCTTCGAGCGACCGTGGAAGGCCAGCGCGTCCCACGGGAACGCCCACTCGCAGAGTACAGCGAGCAGCAGCAGCGGCGGCATGGCTGGCAGCCAGAGGCAGGCGCGCAGCGCGGCGCCCGGCTGGTGGCCGCCGGCCGTCACCGGCAGACCGGCGCCGTCCACCGGGCTCCCCACCGGGCGGAGGACGCACCGCCACAGACTGACCGGTCGCTGGGGAGCCGCCGCGGCCGGAGTCGGAGGCGGCAGCGGGCCGCGGCTGTCGGCGGGGGCCGCCCGCCGCCACTGGGCGCACCTCTCCACCACAGCCGCCGCCGCAGTGGCGAACACCAGCGCCGGCAGCAGCGGCGCGCGCGCAGCCAGCCAGCACAGCTCGGCCGCGGCCAGCAGCAGGCTGAGCAGCGTCCAGAGCAGCGGGCGCCGCGCCGGCCGGCCGGCAGCCGCCGACAGCAGCAGCTGGACGGCCAGCAGCCGGACCAGCGCCGGCCAGCGCCTCCTCAGCAGCAGCGCCGCCACCAGCGCCGGCAGGGCGGCGCGCAGCCGGGCGCCGCTCCGAGACCGGCACAGGCCGCACAGCAAGCTGACGGCGCAGGCGGCGGACAGCGCGGCGGCGGCGACGGTCCCGTCCGTCCCGACGCACACCTGCAGCGTGTGGCGGAGGGCGGCGGCGGTGCGGTCGACGGCGCCGCCCAGACCGGCCGACATGGTACTGAGCGGCAGTGGGTGCACCGCACTACCCTCCAGCCTTCTCCGGTTACTGCCACCACACCATCAGCAGGTCACTGTGTCCGCCACACCACTGCGACTCGAGCTCCAACTCACACCAACTGTACGATACCATGCACTACGGTCGATCCACGCACTCCCACACCGTCCGGCCGAACGGCGATCGATTTACGGACTGGGCCAGCGGCCAGCGCCGACGGCCACGATACGGGTCGGCACCCGGAGGGGAGGAGACAGGGGGACAGGGGGAGCGACTGGTGGTGGTGAGTCAGTATTATAACAGACACGGAATGGACGCTCGGACAGGGCGACGTAGCGGAGGGAGGGGTGAATCCTACAGACTTCACCACGAATGACACACGGTTGGGTACACGGTATTTATAGTTCAGGCGAACACCACAAACACTGTCAGGTAGGCGCGTTCACGGGCAAAGATATCTCCCAATGCCTAGTCAGAAGCGTCCAACAGCCCCACGCGGCGTGCACTCCACCGGGGCCCTCCTGTGCCGGCCGCCACTGGCCACACTGCCGCACCGCCGGCAGTCCGGCACTATCTTATCGGGGTCCGGCCGGCGCGGCGGTGCAGTCCGCTTTTTAGACCGGCGCCGCGACCCGTCAACAGTCGGCCACTGTCAACAGTCGGACGCCCGACGGTACGACACGGCCGGCGACCGCAGAGGTTTTGCATGCGGATTTGCATCGATAATGCCGTGACAGAGTGCATAGGCGTAGGAACGTTTTCGAAAGTGGGGGGGCCAGGCTCCCAGAGGTCTAAAACCTAACCTACCCCCAAAATCTAATTTCTCCTCGGATTTCGGCCACTTTGTTTTCGCAAACATGCTCAGAGGTAAAAAAATCGAGACAAAAACAAAAATAAAATTGGTTAAATTTCATGGAGACTCCCGTCAATAAAGTCAAACTGATGGACGCGTTCCCCTGTCCTCCGCAGCCGTTGGCACCCATGCAAATTCCAGAGGCATCCAGCAACTTTTTCATTACGAGCAAGCGTGAAATGTGCAAAGCGAGTCTTTTCAATAGTCTTTTCAATATACCTATAAAAATCAGCATGAACGGCCCAGCTAGGCTCAGCCAGGCCTGTAAGGTTTTTAAGAGGTTTTATATTAGCGACCACTGCAACTGGGCTGATTGACTGTCAGAGGCCGGTGTGGGCCCTCAGAGACCAGTTTAACCCTCGCCGGCCCGGACCTATAAGTTTTCTACATACGCGCCGGCCGAGGGGGGCGGGCGGGTACGACCCCCCTCGCCGTTTCGCCCCAGGTGGAGCTAGCGCGTCGCGGAAAAAACGAGCGTGTGCGCCGTTACGAGACGAAGAGATCGATACCCGATTTTAAGGTCCTAGGTCAACCGGTGACCTGAGGTCAAGTCAAGTGCCTCAAGGCACGGTTCCGTTTTTGGTGAATAACTTCGCAAGAAACGGCCGCAGGGCGCAGAGCCGCGATTTTGCCAGCATCGTGTTCGCCTCTCTCAGGTGCGTCGAATGATATACTTTTTATTTGGGTGAGGTAAACTTAGGGTGTTGACCTCGGGTCACGGTCAGGTCAGCGCCCCCAGGTCACGAAATTGGTCGAATGAGGTCTTGTCTCATATCATTCGATTCGGAAGGTCTTCCTGAGTCCATTGGTGGCTTTCCCGACTCGCTAGCTCAATTTGATCGGTAGTTATTGACGAAAAACTAATATGACCCTTATAACGTCATAAATGACGTCGCGCAAGGTCAACATTGCAAAAGTGACGCATCGAACCTTGAAAGGAGTGCATGAAATCACGATTCGGTGTGCTTGAGATAGTTGGAGATCGTTCCCGGCGCCAGAAAAAAAGCTTTCAGTTTATCCCCATTGACTTATACCTAATGGTAAGGTCACGAAAATGACCTGACCTCATATGACCTTTAGGAAAATCCGAGATGTACAAGTTGTGAGACTCCTAATGGATACTAGGTCCTGCAAGTTTCATTTCCCTGTGAAATCTTCTCTGGCAGTGAGGGCGTTGCGAAGTTGCGACATCTGAAGACCGTGCAGAGGTTCACTTATGACCTCATAGGTCAGTGACCTGATCTGACCCGAAAATGCGGTTGGTGTCAAAAGATCCGGCTTGATTCAAAGGCCAGGTATGCCAAGCTTCCGCTCTTTATCGCCGGCGTAATCGGAGCTATCGCGAAAAAAAAAACTACGGAGGGGCGGCACCCCCCCTCGGCCGGCGAGGGTTAAGGCCCTCAGAGACCAGTACAGGGCCTGCAAAGAGCAGTTTCAGACCTTTAGATGCCGACTTGGGCCATTAAAGGCTAATGTGGGTCCTTACAGGCCAGCTTGGGCCCTCAGAGGTCAGTGTGGGACCCTAAAATGCCGGCATGGGCCGGCGTTGGACCCCAAAGGCCAGCAGAGCAGAAGTACTGGCCCTCAAAAACCAAGATGGGCCTCCGAGGCCAGCATCGGTCTTCAGAATCCAGTGCAAGGCCCTCAGAGGCTAATGTGGGTCCTTACAGGCCAGCATGGGCCCTTAGAGGCCAGTGTGGGGACGTAACAGATCGGCATGGGCCGGCGTTGGACCCCTAAGGCCAAGATGGACCCTCAGAGGCCGATGCGTACCCTTAGAGGCCGGCATCGGGTCTCCAGAATTCAGTGCGGGGGCCTCAGAGGCACCTAAAGGTTAGTCTTGGGACCCCAGAGACAGAAATGAGGCCACCAGAGGCCGATGTGAGGCCCTCAGACGCCGGCTGGGCCCTTGAGGCCGGTTTAGGGGTCCTCAAATGCCAGTGGAGGAACCTCAGAGGTCAATGTGGGCGCTTGACCGCCACTGAAGGGCCCTCTGAGATCAATGTAGGACCCTCAAAGACTGGTTTGGGAGCTGTTAATAGCTGGCGTTGGATTCTTGAGCCTCGTGACAATCGAATAAGTGCCAGAGCCCCATACGCCCATGGGGGCCCATTGTTTGTTTGGGGAGGGGGGGGGGGGCAAATGGAGGGGCAGATACAGACATTGCTGGCCCCCAGCCTGTTTGAACCGAGGCGGGGGCACGGTCACCCTGGCCCCCAGCTAGTACGCCTTTGACGAACTATGCCGACCCCAAGCAGATCTGGTCAAGCGTTGGTCGTTTGTATACGCATTCCCCTGCACCGTGCTAGTATTGTCTTCTACCTTTTCAGTGCTCGCTGTCCCGCGCATCGTAATCAACAAAATGCTGCGGCACCAGGACTCACAGTCTTGTCTCTGATATGGTTTTCTTCATTGAGTGAAGGAAATTGCGGTCAATAACGCTGTAGAAACGAAAGGGAATCTTCACTAAAGGGCAAGCTGAATAGTTGTCAAGTTCTGGTGTTTAGGGTACCGGGTGGTAGGTACAGACAGACACTTAAGTCAGCAAAAAGTGGGGGGGCCAGTTAACATTGCTGGCCCCCCCACCTCCGAAAGTGGGGGGGCCATGGCCCCCCCGGCCCCCCCTGTTCCTACGCCTATGACAGAGTGCGAAGCAAAAAGCATTAGCGCTGCTTTCACGACAGACAGAGGTTGACAGAGTCGCGGATTCCATGGAGTCTTATGTTGTGAGGCAATCAGTTTCTCTATCGAAGACACGCCAATAATGAATGGATATGTGGAAATCAAGTTTGAGATCACATCACACAATCAGCTTCACGACTCCGTTGTTTGTAACGTTAGCAGGTACACAATCATGCATGCTTGATATATGTATAGGGCGGTGTTTCCCTGTCGTTTAACTACATTCTCGACTTTCCTGTCGCACAAGGTGAGAAGTGTTATTTTTGCCACTCAGCGGCTAACAGCATGGATTGTCCATTGCACACGTTAAATTTCATCTATTAGGTACCGGACACAGCGAGAAGAACAGAACTCATTCCGCAATATTTTGACATGCCTTCGTGGGTGGGTCCTGGGCGTTACCCTGCTCGCGTAAATTTAATATGCGCTAAGGGGGGGGGGGGGGGGTTACGGGCGCGCGTGTCGACTTCGGGGTCATTTGCAAGGATGACATGCGTAAATCAGCTGTCAGCATTCAATTTCCGTATTCCGATGCAAAACCGAATACCCCGAGCCGGAGACATGTTCTCTTGAATTGTCCATCATTATCTCCTAATCGAGAGCCGTCAGAGGCGGTCGCAGAGCCGTCAGCTATTAGGTATGTCGATGGACTGGCACGCACAGCCCACCGCCCGCTGACGCTGACGCTGGTCCCACCCGAAGGGCGTTGTCGGCGCACAGGAAACGTTCACGCAGGCGCCAACGCTCCGTGACCCACCGAATGCGCCCGCAGTTCCCCGGGGTTTGGATTAGTGATGTAAAACTCCGGCACATACAGCGGAAATGATATGTGCAGGAGATTAGATTGGTCGGGCTCAGTGAGTAGCGCACCAGGCTCCACAAGCACGTAGTCGCACGACGGTGGAGGGATAGTGAGCCGATATCGACGGTCATGACTCATGAGCACTATCAGATCTAGGAGTCGTGCTAAACAAGCTATAGGCAATAATGCCAAATGTGGGCCAGTTTCGGAAAAATCTTGAATTCCTTGCGG